ATAGGAAAACAGGTCATCCATGGTGCTTGCAGACGCCGACAGAAGTTGGCTCCTCAAATAAGCAGACATGTTGGCAATGGCCAAATTTTGAGGGGCAAAAAAAAGTAAATTCTTGTTTCCGAGATTGCCCATGTAGGCCATGACATCAGTGCCCCTTAAGAATTTGTCCCCGGCTATCTGAGATTTGATTGGTTGAGGTTTAGTTGAGTATGAGTGTGCGAGTGAGCACATTGTTTATGTGAAAGGATAAGGTACGAGAAAGAAGAAGAAAGCAAATTAGTTCAGATTGTTAGGGCCTATGCTTATTGTTATTATATACTATAGAAATGATTTAGAGATTAGTAATCTTAGTGGCAATGGGGTAGACTGGAAGAAATGATAGTTTGATTTTAACTAACAGTGGTGAGGTCTTCCCTGGTCTCTATAATTTCCCTCACATTGTTTGCTCCAAGGATGAACTCTACCTTTAAATTTAATTTTAAAACGAGGAAGAAAAACGTCCATACGATCGTTGTAAAGAATGACGATTGCATTGTACACGTTTGGCTCGTTAAACTTAAAAATTTTAATTAAAAAAATTATTCAAATTAGATTCTTCATAAATTTGAGTGTGCCTGACAATCTGCGAGCAAGATTCTTTTTTTGTATAAAATTTAAATTTCATTTATTCACGGTGTAAACACTAACACCTGGATTGTGTAAATTTGTGAAAAGTGCATTCTAGTTAGAAAGTAGAACAGCTGGGCAGGTGAAAAAAGTTTTTTTTTAAATTTCCACATGATTTATACTCAAATTCCAAGTTTAAATCTTAAACGTGATAATAAAGACTTCTCAAATGGAAATTTTAAAATGTATTTATGTTTACACACGATTTGACTGGATAGAACAGTTTAGAGTATAACTCCTTGCACTTTTATTATCTAATCTTAATTAAAATTCTCCCCAATCTCTAGCTCTCCATGATTTATATCTTATATCTCTATGATTTATACCTTCTTTCATGCTGAATTATCACTGTCGAAGAACATTTTCAATAAATGTTTCTTAACTTTTTTGGCGACTGGTATGCCTGGTTCTTTAGAAACTTGTTTAGATCAAACTAGTGAATAGCGCAATTTTAGCGCTACTAAACAAATAAGAGACTTTAACTTCGTTTGCAATTGAACCAGATAAAATCACATAACCCCAAATAATCAGACAATCATTTATTACGGAGAATTGTTATCATATAAATTAACCATAAATATGAAAAAAAAATATGACTGTTTTATTTGTATTGCATCATTTTTTCAACTTTAAAAACAGAAAGCACGACATCATCATATAATAACCATAATTAATTATAAATTATAATTAATATTATTAATATGCATTTATTATTTCAACATAATAAAAAAAAAGATAGCAACATCATCATAGTCGTCGTCTACCTTTCATCATCACCGTCACCACCATGTGGAGTTGTAATATGTAATAAGTAATGATAATTGTAATATGTAATTAATATGTAATGATGATAATTAATATTACTATCAGTTATAATATGTAATAAGTAATAATTGTAATATGTAATGATGATAATTGATATTACTATCAGTTATAACATGCAATGTAATGATAATTGTAATATGTAATGATGAATTTTCATCATTAACCTCATCGCCAGCATCATCGTCATATCACCAAAGATAGTAGATAGAACACGAGGGGAAATAAAATTATGACAACGAAATTATGACAGATACAATTAAAAAAATGACTGTGCCGAGTGTACGAATGATTAGAATGATATCATATCATCATTGCTATCCTATCATGCTCCGAGCGTGATAATGCATCAAATGATATACATATATATATACGCGAATAGATATTAACTCAATAGAATATTTAACTACATACTTCGACTGAATTAGCGATAGATGAATAAAAAAAATATTAACAATTATAAATAATAATAGTAAATAAAAATAATTAAATAATATAAAGAATAATAATAACGAGAAGAACAATACTTACTACTACTTCCGCTACTTCTACTGCTACTACTATCACTACTACTAATACTAAGTATTACTGCTGCTACTACCCAAAACTACAACCACCACAACTACTACTACTACTACTACTTCTATTACTGCTACTACTACTACTACCGCTTCTACTACTACAACTAATAATAATAATAGTAATATATTACTAATAAATTATTAAAAAGCAATAATAAAAATTACTATGACGATAATATTTAACGATTAACTCAGCTCCAGTAAAAATACTGTTATAAAATTGCATTAAAAATAGCTGCTGCAATAATAATAATGATAATAATAATATTAAAAAAAAATAAAAAGATAATTAATGATAATAATAAAATGATAATTAATAATAATAATAATAATAATAAAAGA